GCAAATATTAGGTAGGGCCCAAGTCCATTGCTTGGCATAACGCCCATCGCTTCACATGCAGCAGCCGGATGCACGGGTAGCCTCTTACTCAGCAAAAAGCGAAACGACTGCGGTTGGTTGACGTTCGATGTTGTTGGGACCCTACCGGCGAAAGGCGAGAGAGAGAGAAAGAGAGGTAGACAAAAATACGAGAGCGGAGAGAAGACAAGGCATTGACTCTCTCGAGAAGAGAAGGCATTGACTCTCTCGAGAAGAGAAGGCATTGACTCTGTCGAGAAGACACTCACTCTCGTCCCTCTGGCCCGCCGCAGGCTGTCAGACATGATGTCACGTTGTGTATCGAACGGCGATATCCGATGTCGGCTCAGCAACAGCAAACAAGCACAACAACAAACAAATATAGTCAGTCGCCGTGTGCGAGCTGTGGACTACTATCTTGTTGTAGGAAGTGAGAACTAAAAAGAGCACGACTACATAGCACCACGGACGAACTATTATCGCAATACGCTTGCCGTCCGCCATAGATGCGCACCGCTGCACGAACGAGCTGTTGGTTATCATACCTCACTACGTAGTATCTAAGATTGTGCTGCCATCTAGCTTACCTATCGCTCAAATTACGACTACGCAGCAGACTCAAGGCAAGGAAGCAACACGCGTGCCGATGCATACCAACCATGCATGCAGCAAAACAAAACAAGGCGGACCGTCTGTTGTTGTTTGTCTCTTCAACTGACTGTGCTGCCGACAACGACACTGGAAAAAAGTAGGAGACGCGCATCGCCTACGCGAGCAACGCGTGCAGCCCAAAAAAACAGAGACGATAACCTTACGACCTTTCTTTTCAGCACATTCCGAGCATATACTGCAGCAACCGCAAGTATGTGTACAGCAGCAGCCGCATGTTGTGTACAACAACGGTCACTCAGGAAGAAAATCACAACAACAAACAAACGCAAAAAAAAAAAGGTGGTGGCGCGCAGCACGCAGGACCCTCTTTCGCTTTGAACCGGCCATTCCCATGGCGAAACAGACAAGGTACAGCAGTGAAGGCCGACTCTTGCCGGCCCCAGGAGGCGGAAGCTGCTACAACTCGGGGACGGGTCATGATTTGCGATTGATTCCTCACCGAACGGATATCGAACGATGACACTACTGTTTCAACTAGCTTCAGAAAAGCTTCAAAATTAATTGTGAAACTTGCATAGAGATGGCAAGTAAACACCCCGTTCCAAAGAATATCTGTCGTTGATTTTTATTGACTTGCGGACCTTTCGGGGCCAGTTTGTTTTAGCGTACCTCTTTAGGGTAAGTTAGCCTGTGACCACGGGAATCGACCGCGTCAAGTGTTGGATCAGTACGCACATATGAAGGTACTGGGTAGAGAGAGATCTGAACGGTTTTTAATGCGAAGACAACAACAACAACAACAACAACAACATTTAAAACTGAACTAATAATGGGTGGTGGGCGGATGACCGGCGGACCCCAAAAAGCAAGCGGAAAAATAAAATATAGACTATGTTAAGAAAAAAAAGAAAAAGAAGAAGGGACGACAAAGACAAGTGAGCCAGACGCGACAGGCTTCAGGGAGGTGGCAAAAGAGAGCATACGAAAACCACCGTCGCCGCTCTGAACCGCTGGAAGCTGTCACATAGCACAGCATGCAGCAAACATTATAGGGGCCATGCCCCCGTTGCTTCAAGTAAAGAGGCAGCGCCCATCGCCTCACATACAGCAGCCGGGTACGTACTACACAAATAGCCTCTTACTCAGCAAGAAGAAAAACGATTGCGGTTGACGTTCGATGTTGTTGGGACCCCAACGGCGATAATAGGCGAGAAGGAGAGACAGGTGCTACTACTACGTAGATCAACAGAAGAAAGCGTAGAGAAGGCATTAATTAACTCTCGAGACCCTAACCGAAGACACTCACTCTCGTCCCTGTGGCCCACCGCAGGCTGTAACGAACGACGACATCCGATGTGTGCTCAGCAACAACAAACGCAACAAACCAAATATAGTCGCCGTTTCCGAACTAACTGTGGAGACTCTCTTTCATCACTTGTGGTATGAAGTATGAAGTGACAACGAAATAGAAAATGATGACGAGAAGCACCACGGACGAACTATTTTCTCAATACGCTTGCCGTCGCGATAGACGCGCACCGTTCCACGAACGACCAGTTGTCAAACCTCACTACGCAAATAAGATTGTTGTCCTGCCATCTACCCCTTATCGCTCAAATTACGACTACGCAGCACACTAAAGGTAAGTAAGGCAGCAACACGCTTGCGATGCTTTACCACCCATCCATGCATGTAAGCGAAGAAAAAAAAAAGGGTATGGCGGACCGTCTGTTGTCTGTATCTTCAACCGTGCTGCCGTTGCTTTTCTTCATGGATATCGGCACAGAGAAAAAATGAGGAATGCGCATCTCCTACGCGAGCACGGCGTGCAGCCCAAGCGACAGAGACGATAACCTTATGACCTTTGCAGCATCTTCCGAGCATAACAGCAGCCACCGCATGTGTACAACGGTCACTATAGACTAAGGAAGAAAATCACAAAATCACTGGTTATCGCCCCACAGCGAGCGATAGCTGCTCAAACGACTGTGAGAGGTCTTGAAATCGTCTCAGCTACCCCAGAACTGCTGGTAGTTGCCGGAGATTTGCAGGTACGTACTGCTTTTGCCTACCACTCTCGTCCTCTCGTCCGCACATCAACAACAACAATAAATGCTAATTTTCGCACCACAAAAGAGCCATCCATGCAGAAAGTTGCAACAACAGAACAAAAGCAGCTCCTGCTGTATGTACACAGAATCTCCAGCTGTGTGCTGAGGTCGGTCAGCATCTCGAGAGAAGCGTAGCCAGCAAGCAAGGCTTGGCGCGGGACACGAGAGAAGCAAGCAAGGCTTGGGGCGGGCGGCGAAAAAAAGAAGACGACTCTATATAAAAAGATCTGTAAAAAGAAGGGTTGGCGCGGGCGGCGAAAAAAATGAAGACGACTCTTATACAAAAAGATCTATAAAAAGAGGACCCTCAACGACAAGTCAACCAATCTGGTCGTTCCGATGTGACGATGTAACGCAGATCTTCTTGTCGACGGAGAAACTGGTTATCGCCCCACAGCAAGCGATAGATGCTCAAACGACTGTGAGAGGTCTTGAAATCGTCTCAGCTACCCAGAACTGCTGGTAGTTCTCGGAGGTTCGCAGTGTGGGCTGAGATCGGCCTTTTCGACCCGGTCGGGCAAGGGGTCCGCTATGCTACTGAAAACTCCACAGACGGAAAAAAAAGACTTTTGATCGACTGAGACCCAAGCTAGAGCTTGGGAATCTCCAACCCTGTTTTCTGTGACACGTGACAAAATGGGGGCCCTAAGCCAACACATTCACCGTGAAAACAGTGTTTGAACCTGAGATCCTGTTTTCAATCTCCAACCCTGTTTTCTGTGACACGTGACAAAATGGGGGCCCTAAGCCAAGACATACACCGTGATAACAGTGTTTCAACCTGATATCCTGTTTTGAATCTCCAACCCTGTTTTCTGTGACACGTGACAAAATGGGGGCCCTAAGCCAAGACATACACTGTGATAACAGGGTTTCAACCTTAGATCTTGTTTTGAATCTCCAACCCTGTTTTCTGTGACACGTGACAAAAAGGGGGCCCTAAGTGACAAAACGGGGGCCGCAAGCAAAGACATACACTGTGATAACAGGGTTTCAACCTAAGATCCTGTTTTGAATCTCCAACCCTGTTTTCTGTGACACGTGACAAAATGGGGGCCCTAAGCTTACTTCCTTTCATACGGATGACAGCTACGGATGACTTAATTTATTTTCCGGTGCTTCCACTTCCAGAGAGTTATGCATATGGGCACTGCTGTATAACTGCCTCGAGGGTGTTTGACTATTTTAGCATCTGAACAAAACATGGGGCGATGATCCCCTTTGCGTGGAGTGAGCGCCCTCGACCCCGCACAACATAATCTACTCAACCACTATTGAGGCTACCGCAAAAACAAACAAAGGGAAAAAAAGAAGCCATAACCTGGTTGTCGAGCTCACACAGCGATCGGCTTGTTTTACGACGTTGTTGCCAAGCGACTAAAACCCCAACCCGACGGCGCACACCGGGGGGGATCGGGGGCATCGAAATGGGGTTATGGGCGAGAGGGGATTGTCGCGAGAAAAAACAGACAGATTCCCATCCGACGGCCGTACGACCTCCAAGGTTTCCTTATTGTCCCTAACCACCTCTCGACTCAGGATTGTAAGCCCAGGCTGTGCGCCGCCAAAAGATAAACGATACGGAAACAGACGGACAGGAACAGTTGGCAAACGACAGAGTGTCGCCGTGGTCTCATTGGTAACGGAGCGACCTTGCCTGACTCACTTGAGGGATCAACGACCATTATGGAACCCTGAGGCGGTGCACATCTCTAGATACGACGAAATGGAAATCTCGTTGGGTGTGGAGTTTGCGTTTGACCTCCTCCAGAGCTTTGGTGCCGTACCAAGGCTCCCGGAGAAGCTGGGACACAACTCCATACTCAACGACGGTGTCACTTCGTCGTTTCTAACGGCGTGCACCGCCGCAGAGTTCGGTAGGGTGGGCAATTACCCCTCGAGCAAGTCAGGCAAGTTCGCTCGATGCCGTGGCGAAAATGATGGGCTGCCAGAATTCGCCTCTGACAAACTGTTGGTGGTAAAAAGAACGCTAGCTTCGCGAAATGAAACAGTGCTCTCGACCAATATTTTGGAGAATGCGTCATACGGGCACACAAAGCGCAACCATTGTCGCCCGGACCCGCCTTCTGCCCCGCGGTGGGTGCTGCAGCCGGAGGCGATCGCCGTACTCTAACCCGAACATCGCCACCCCAGCAAGCTCACACTTGGTTGCTTGTGTACTCAGCTGCTTCTTATCATCTGCATGGCCTGCTGCCTGCCGAAGCAATCCGCCGACCCACCGCTGTCCTAATACCCTCCCTAGCCTCTCCCCGTGCCTGTCCGCTCTCCCCTCCGTCCACGGCCCACTTCTTCACCACGGTAACATTGAACTCGCGCCGCTACGCTTCGACCCCCCTCCCCCCCACCCACCCCCTCTCCTGCTGGCCGTCCAAGCCTGCCGTGTGAACCACCACCGTAGGTGTAGGACGAGCGATGTGTAGGACGAGCGATGGTGGACTTCGTATCGTCTCCATGAACGAAGCCCCTGTGTCAAGTGCTGTCGCGTATACACTGGGCGTTCAGACGGATGTGGTCACCAATTTTCGGGTCAGAATCTACCACCAATAATTTTCGAAACAAGCAAACACGCGACGTGTCTCTCTCTGTCTTGCATCGTGCGACGGTGACCACCCCGTTATCGCGCAATGGTTGCCGTGTCCGCTCACATAGACACGACCGGGCACTTCCACCCTGGCAAATTTTGTGAGCGGAATTAATTTTGCTTTTTGGTGTTGTATCGGCTATCAGTCGACTCTTACCTTAGCGTCCCCTGGCCCGCGTCGTCCCGCAGCCTCCACGCGTGCTCTCGCCAAGCCAAGCCCGATGGCACAAGCATCGCACCGGAAAGTCGGGGGCATGTGGACAAGAGAAGGTACTGTAAGCTGGCGTGGGGACCTGAAGCGACGACTGCCCAGGGTTTTTCGGATGGACGTCGACGTTAACGCAAAGACGTAATCAAACCAACAACTACAACAACAGACAGCCATAAGACGACCCGCTACTGTAAAAAAGCAGACGCTCAATCCCCCACTAG